AATACGATATATTCCCATATCGTTGACCTATTACTGGTTCCATTATCCCAACGGAACAAACCGGTCAATTATTCCTGAATTAATTGAATAGTGGTAGTAGCAACAATTGTTGACCAACCTAACGATTCGCATGCATGTTCCGCCATGAATGGCCCTAGAAATATTAATTGTTCTAATAGACTTAGATCTAATCAACTCAAAGTTCATCAAATAAATACAAAATTAGTTGATACGATGATATGTTTTTCTTATTTAATTCGCCAGATCTGCTATTTCCATTACGCACTTTATTTGAGGCCGGTCTTCTGAACGCCAATTCAATTTAGAGCTGATGCATAGACCAAACTTAAATTTCACAACACCATATTGCCTTGAAGAAAGGTAAAGAAAGATGAGAAATTTTGAATGTATGATTTGTTCACAATGACATAAATTGGAATAATGACTTCTCGGGATCTGAAATGCGATCATTAAATTTTGGCCTGAATAAGATACGATACGCGGATAATGAAATCACCTCCGATCCAAAATGCTAGCCATAGCCGTGACGTAGGGGGATTGACGTAGGTCTCATCTTGTTGAAGTTTTTATGAAGTTCAGTTAGTGGAAGTAAGGCGAATGTATCAGTAATAGAATCTTCAAGAGAATTTTTCATCATTAGTGAGAACTACAGCTTTAGATCTGATGGTGGATCTTCACTAATGGTTTAATAGACAGCTGTTGAAAATTTATTCTTTTATCGAAATATGTAAGCCAGATAGGCAGTCTTTAACATTTTCATTTAAAAATTGGAAAATTCTGACACATGAATTCGTACCAGTAATACACACCTGAAATTTTCAAAGACCTAGTGATCTACATTCTTTTGTAACAGGCTCTGTTTAAAAAAAAAAAAAAAAAAAAAATATATATATATATATATATATATATATATATATATATATATATATATATAACAATTTACAAAATCAAATTATAACGTTTAAAATATATATATATATATATATATATATATATATATATATATATATATATATTTTTTTTTTAATGACAGGAAAATGCATTAATAGGATAATAAATTATAACACTTCTGCCTTTTTTTCTCTTTTCCGATAAAATTCAATTACACCACTCAATGTTGAAGAAGGCCTTTTTTTTTTTTTTTTTTTTCGGTTTATTGGTGATTTGCCTATGAGTTATTCGTTGCAAAATAGGATACTGTGTGAAATCTTAAGATCATAAAAAAGGGGTAAAAATGTTATTCGAGGCACGCCATGTTATTTATTTGAAGTGGCTGTAGGGACGCCATGATGTGCATCACAAATTGCATTTACCATATTTTCTTCTGATTGTTTCCACATTTTATTTCCTTCGTGCCGACGTTTTGGTCTAAGTTTCAGGCCTTCATCAATATAATTTAGATAATATTTTAAAATTCTGATTTTTCTAAACTATGGTCCTTGTAATATTAAAAAAAAATTGATTTAGTTTTAAATTTATCACATATTTATATTAACCTTAATATTTTTTTTACAGGTAAGTCACTTCTGATATTTTTTCTCTATGTAAGGTAAGGTTTTCGATTTATTTTTAGTATTGCTTTATCCTTATAGTTTTAAATTTGCAATTGAATTTTAAATATTATTTGTTTGTATAAATTATAGAACGAACTTAACCTTAATTAGATTTTTTTTTATCACGAAGGCCTTCTACAACATAATGTTTAAAATTTTCATTTCAAATATCTGGCCTCGTTTCGAGGGTATTAAAATGATAATCCTGAGTTAAATAGGTCATTCAAAACGTGTGCCATAAAACAGTCTGGTCCTGCTGGTTTACGGAATAAAAAGTAGTTCCAAATAAATAAAAAGTAAATAAACTTTAGTGAAATAGCTCCAAGGAAAAAGCTCATTTTGACTTGATTATATTAATTCATTGAATACAATCCGGAATTATACACAACCTTCATCATTACACAGAATCTCACCACTTCTCACAAATATTGCAAACGTTTTCTCTTAGTTGAAAAAAAAAATTATTTACAATTTTTATTGACTATTGTTATTATTTAATTGAATTAAGACAAACTTGTTCAGGAGAAAACTATGAAGCGAGTTGGGTCCGTTTTTACCAAAACAAATAATTTCAGAATAACTTTTAGCTTGTTTTATGTTCATTTTCAATCGTTGTTTTAAGTTAAGTTTGATTGGTTTATAAAAATTATAAAGTGCCTCGTTTTGGTTAGATCGTGTAGTGATTACGATTTTTTTCGTTTGGTGGATTAGTTAGTTTCCTTCATAACGCTATTTGATTAAATTATTGTCGTCTAAAATTAATGTGGTATTACTATATAATAATAATAAAAGATTTGAAGCTCATCCTCTAATGGATATATATATATATATATATATATATATATATATATATATATATATATATATATATATATATCCGTTGACTGTCTGAATCTAAATTGCAAGATCAGACTTTAAACGCATTTCAACTGTTTGTATAGTATGATCATAAAATGTTTGTATAAAACAGTAATGCACCATGAAAAGTAATAAAATTTGATGTTGCAAACTTCAGAATAGACTTTTTCCCTATGAGAATTGTTTTGTTTTTCAATTGAAAATTGGTTTCTTAATAATCAGATAAAAATTAAACTATTTCTGAAATTAACCTAAGAAATTTTCACTTTCAAATTTTATTTTAAATTGAATTAATAAATTTAATAAAATACATTTTAACTTTTATCTTTCAATTAAAAAAAAGACTTATAGAACTGATTCATGAAGGGTCTTCGGTTTGGATCATGACTCTGTAAAGTAGTACGGTTTCTTGAACAACGATTGCACGGTAATTGCATGTGCTTTCCGTAAATCCCCCTCCCCCCCTTCATTAATTAAGCAATTAAGGGTTCCCACTTTATGTAGGTTGGGTGTGCCTTGGTCTCTTGACCCCAGGATCGCTTCATACCAGATGCAACAAAATAAATTATTACTTGCTACAACAGGACTACAACCGAGAGAATCGTAAAGCAGTGTCATACTCGCTGATGCTACCCTCTCTTCTTTTATTTATCAGTGAACTTTTTTCATATGGATTAATGCTAATACCACCTGCTAATCTACTGAAAATTACTCTACTAATTTTATAGAATTCAGTTGAGCAATTTAAAACAATGCTTTACAACTGTATTCGGATAAATACATCAAGTTAATGTGTACAAAGGAATATAATCACATGAAAACGCTTGTTGAGAAACTACCCATTGGTAGCACTCTATGTCTACATAAGGAGATCACAAGGCCATCTTATTTTCAGGCGCCTCGGGGGGTTGTCAGAAATCGAAGAGGAAGTTAAGGAACAAGAGGATTCGGGTAGTTATGAAGTTTATTATGGAAGGATAGGTATCTGAATTGTGCCAAATTAGAAACATATGGAACATTAAGGTCTTTATGGATTATATTATTTGTAACAAAGTAAGGAGCATTGAGGATTTTACGAAGGATTTTGGATTGTAAGGATTGGATAAGAGAGGAATTTAATGGTTTAGTGGAGCTCCATAGCTCAACTCCGTAGGTCCAAATAGGTCTTATTATGGTCATGTATATGAGTCTTTTGTAATTAATTGGAATTTTAAATTGTTTGTCCTGTAAGTTTTGAGTAAGCGGAAACATCGAGCAGTTTCTTACAATTTTTATCTTAAAACATTTGATTTAATTTGAGAAGGAGTTGATCGGGGGGGGGGGAGGGTCAAATAAATACAAAATTATAAAAATATTATAAAAGTATTATTAATTTATTACGCAGACATTTCAACCCACCTTGCAGGTCTTCATCGGGGTGGGCATCAGGCACTGCAGGAGGCAGTTGATAGGTCTATCAGTCTATCAACTCCTCATATTATATCACGGTCAACCATCTCTACATCATTTAATTTAATTGTTCTTCTCTTTGCAAAACTACTCATTGGGGTCTTAAGAAAATTATTAAAGAGACTTTTATTAGATAAACTGAGTTTGTATACATTTCTCTATTTGTATTCTATTCCTTCACTCAAATCAATCAGAAATACTGACAATCATGAGCTGGTTGGTCGGGAGAGTAGTCGTAAGACTTTGATAGGCGTGAGGGATATGAGTGCCACTCCACGGGTTCTCTTCCTAACCTTGTGTTCGTATTTTTCGTTAAGGTAAATGTAGCTGTAATAGAAACTGTACTAGTAAAAGACAGTTGACAATATTCGCTTATTAGCTTTATACACTCAGTACATAGTGCAAATAAGAGTAGATTAGCTGCAAAAACACTGAGGAGGGTGATTCCTTGACCTCAAGTGGTATTATGCCACAATAGTCGGCAGTTGAATGGGCCAGTTTGGATGTTTGTTTCAGGGAGGTTTTCTTATCAGTTTTGTTTAAGAGTTAAGTTGGGAAAATTAAAGTAATTTTGATCTGCGATTTTCCATTTCTCAGTTTGAAACTGTGCGAAATTTTTCAATATATAAAAAAATCTATTGACCCCAAAACTTAGATGATATCACTGGTGCAATATATTGGTGTCATGATTTCCTTAAGCTTTTCATGAATAATGAAATGATTGACTGTATGGAAAAAACAACTTCGACAAAATACTAAATTTTCTGAAAATTAAATCCATTTGCAATGATCCACAACCAGAACTAAAGCTGTGATTTATATTAATGTTGAAAATTTCTCTTCGCCTAATGCCGATAAATTTTCCTTAGTTATAGTTCTGAAAGTTTTGAAATGTTTGTAAAAATAAAATTGTAATCATACAAGTTAAAGTTGACAATTATCCTACGTTTTTTATTATAATTTATTTCAAAAGGAAATATATTTCTATATAATTTTTTGGTGGTTAGCTTTATTGGTGATGATGACTTATTTTTTGCCAAAGCATTTGGTTCAATATGGTCCGAAAAGAGGCATTAAATATTGAATTGAGTCAGGTGCCAATTTATACAAGGGGCCAGCTAGAGGTAGAGTTGTAACCGAAAAGCGAAGGTAGTGGAGTCGACCCGGGTTGACCCGATGGAGTGACCCCCACCCGCGGCCGGCACCCAGTTCTCGGGGAGCCGCCGATCTGACAACGTTGGTGAGGACACATGGTCTCGGCAGGAATGGCCGGAAGCCCCGGCCCAGTAGCCACTCTCGCCAAGAAGTTGAGGGCCTTCTGCTCTGCTGAGAAAGGTAGGATCTTTGGCTCTTTGCTCCCTTCGTCGGCCGGGCTTGGTTTTTTGTTCTGTCGTGGAGATGATAGCTACAGTCGTGATAGTGTCTGTACCACTATACAATATGGATGAACTTGGCTAGTATTAATACAAAAGAAAATGTAGGAGTGTTTTGTCGCTCTGTTGAGTTTCATTACTTTTTTCAGTGCGCTGAGATTATCCTTGTACAATTAATAATAGTAGCAATCGGTTAACATTGTATTTTATGGTGAACAAACTGTTTTAAAGTGGATAAAAGAGTGTTCTGTGATGTGATTTTTTTCTGCTGTTTATGCATATTAGGGAATAGAAGACTTGAGCACATTCTTAAATATTTACTTACAGGACGAATATAGTGTTTCGGAATTCATTAACAAATCCATATACTGCTATTTCTGTCTTAAATAAGTTTTGGATGTATTGTTCAAAGAATGATAATTAGCATAGTGGCTCATGTTTATTGTCCGAACATCTTAAGTGATCAAGCAATTGTTTTTTTTTACTTTTAGGATTGAATACAATTCAAGTCCATTCTTAATGTGTTTGATACCATTCCCCAAATTATTTTGTTCGCTAATCTAGTTTTGTTCGATTGATCCGGTCTTCACCGTCATGTAATATTTCGTAAAAATCCTACTGTCGATGTATGCTGACTCTGTTGCTATGTTTAATAATGTAAAGGTTTTTTGTTTGGTTTTTTAAATAATTCGTTGTATTAGAAATAAATAAATAAAATGAAAATACAACGTACCGTAACTCTCAAAAAGAGTATTTTAATTTATAATACTGTCTTGTAGTGGAATTAAGGGCTACAAAGAAAAAAAAAATCTGTATTTTGGTATTCGAATAGTTTTTAAATACTATTACTAATAAAAATTTACACTTATTGGTTTATCAGTATAAATGCAAGATTTACTAACTTATAATATTTCAAAACTATAATCCGCTTTTTATTAGGAATTAACGCGTTTCTCTTTTCCAAATGAACGAAAATAATGCTAGTATCGAGTACACAAAAATTAATGTGAATAAATAATGAAACTAAACATCAGATGTCAACTACTCTTGGTTTTATTAACCACTAGAATTTTCGATTTCCTGCGGAAATTCCAAGTAATTTGCAAAAGAAAAAATAATGATAACTGGCTATTAAATCTCGACCAATTATGCAATCATGATACAAACATAAAACAACGCGTTTTATTGTTCAAGGTGCTAAATATCATAATTCATCTCTGGGGAATCTTTGCTTTAATATGCATATAAATGCACCTTTGGAATTCATTGCCTATTATCTTGATTTTTCTCTTAATCTCTCGCAATGCAATCCTCGTCTATTTATTCGCTCTATCTATTATTATTACATAATGAAATGTATTTTTAAAAATTTTAAGTAATATCTGGTATTTGGTAGAACCGTATTTAAACTTCTAGGTCAGAACAATTATGAAATTTATTTCTTAAAAACTCTTAAAGGGTTAGCATTGCGTTTTTATTTTTTTAGTAAATGTATATACTGCTATTTCCTTTAAGAAATTATAAAAACATTACAAGAAAATCGAATTATTAAATAAAGACATTAATTTATTTATTTTTTAGTACATTTGCATCATAATCGTACTTATAGTTCTGGGAAATAAAAATAAAATAACAATTATAAAATAAATGTTTAGTTCCTATGACCACATTGTTTTGTAATTTTTTTATTATATTTTTGTTGGTAAATGTAGGAATAACTAGTTTATATCACATCTTAATTATTTGATATAGAAGTCAATTCAATTGATTTGTAAAAGTTTCAATATTTTTATAAAACTCGCATATAAGTTCTTAGTACTGTCGTTGCATTTTTCACATTATTAATGATGAAGGTTTTTCTTTTTACTATTTATTTTCGGAAAAAGCAACCTATCAATCTTACTGATACCTTTGAAAATTTATTTTTCTTTCCCCCTTCCATGGACTAAAGGTAAAAAAAAAGAAGAAAAAAATAAAGGTTCTAGATGTTGGCGCCAAAATGACGTGTCACTCGATTAAATATCTCGAAAGCCCCCGAACGGGGCCTGTGCCAAAATATAAACATCCGCCTGTCCTTTAACCTTTCTATTTATTTTCAAATTTTTTTTTTCTGTTTATTTATTTATTTCAATTGCATTAAGTAGAGAATATACGGTAATAGGTAGATAAGAGTTTAAATGGTTCAATTTATTTATGCGTTTTGGAGGAGAGAAAAAAAAATGATTTGACGAAAATGTCTTTTTCATCTTTCCAAATATTCCTTAACCCTGAACATTCTACTTAAGCACTGACATGTCATCGATGACTTGTTTTGTTATGCAGTTGATCGGTATCATTTTTCGTGGTTAACTCTCATGATACAAAAAAATTGTGGTTTTTAAATTGTTTTTTATTTGGTAATCTGAGTTGTTATATCAAATTACTTTTGCAAATTCTCATTTTGTATTTATGTAGTATAACACCTATAAATAGGTAATAATAATAATAATAATAATAATAATAATCCCAAAACTAGCTGAATTCAGAGTCTTATTTTACATTAAATTTTTTTTTGTACATGTTTGAATATCATACCTTCCAAAATAAATTACAACACTTGTGGATTAACTAATTTTGAAAGAAAATAACTAACTAAAATATTAACTGGTTGGTTTTGGAATCCTCTCTCTTATCTTATTTCCTTTCCCCTCATTTTTAAAAATAATTAGAGAGCTTTTTAATATTTTTATTCTAATAACAAAAACAATTGTCTTTGATTGTTCGCCTGTTATATTATAAAAAAAAATACTGAATAAAAATTTATCAATTGTAAACCAATATTTTTTTTTAAATACATTAAAACTAATGACATTTTGGTTTAAAACCTATCAAATGAACATATGTTTAATTTTTATTATTTTGACAATGTGTTTGGGTGTTAACTATGATTGAGTGTTGGTCTTTAACTCTCTGTCTAAATTTAAAAAAATTGTATAAATGCCACTTGATATCATAAAGTGGCACTTCCGGTTAATCGATTTAAAAGAAACATTTTCTGTAACATCCCTTACATAAACCTACCTTAAATACGTAAAATCACTTTCGTTTCAAATCTAGGTTGTTCACATACACACACACTATTTTGTTAGACTTGGTTATTTGGACTCAGGAGACCTCAATATATTTATTTCCGTTGAAAAGTCAGATTTGAAAATTTTCACGATCGCAATACATTACACACATTACATTACAAAGATTGATAAGTGAAAGTAAAAAGATATATAAATGATATTTCGTAAATATAATTCGCTAAAGAAAAACGCCAATCATAGTAAAACGCCAATGAACCTTGAGGGTAAAGGCGCGAAAGAAAGAAAAAAAATGAAAAAAATAATGTACTGACTAATCTTGATTTTAATAATAATTCCATTAAATATTTAAAAGATAAAAACTGTACAGGTAGATATACTTTACCATATTTCAAAATTTTCTTTTTCAATATATTCATTATTTAACCCAAACCTGTCAAAAATATTGACAATCGGTGAGTTTGCCTGTCGAGGAGAATATTGGTAGTAGCTTGATCGGCGTGGAGGAGAGGAGTACCCAGCGGCATCCCTACCTTTATTGATTTTATTATAGATTTTTAATCGAGTGATCTCTTATCCAGCTTCGTTTTAGCCTCCTAAGACTTTTCAGTTATGTTTCGAAAACGAATTTTTTTTAATCGGTTTCTTCATAATGGATTATGGAATATATAATTATTTTCGCTCTAAAATATGTGTTCTAAATTCCGCTGGGTTTGAATCTGTTTTGTATCTTATGTTGCTAGATTTTGTTTTTTGTAATTAGAACTCCTATTAATTATATAACGGTTTGAAAATTTCAGAAAAAATTATTTTCACTAGATAATAATTTAATATAAAATTTTAATATCTATGTTGTCATTTTGGAATTGTGAAGTTACAAATTTAAAACAGGGCTCCATTATTCACTTATAAGCACACTTTTATATAATATTTTTCCGTTCCATAATTGTTTTTATAAGTATGATCAAATTTTAGAAAAATTAAGCATTATCATCAAGAGTTTACCTTTTCTGGCAGAGTAAAAGCGGTATCATTACTTAATGATTTCGTAACGGCTCTGTTGTCATTAATTTGACACACAGATTTGATCAGCTGGAATTAACTGAAAGCTATCTTGTAATTCATTGTTAGCTTACCCGTCTTTGTTTCGAAACTGAACTTTTTTCAAGTCTCCAAATATTTTTTACTCGTTTTGGATCGAAAGGTATAAATTGAAATATTTTTAGTATCGTAATGTTTTTTTTATTTTTACTAACGCTGCTAGGTAAGGAAGGTATTGTAATTTCTCACAATTTCACCCAGGGTGTTTGTTTCTAGATTATATCTTGGACGGATGGACCGATTTTGATGCTTCTTCTATTTTTGTTTTATAGATTTTTGCCATCATATGCTTTGTTCCGAATTGGTTATTCTGTTCGCAATAAGTGATATACGTGTTTTTATATAGCTGGAGCGTCAAAACCGCTCTTGATCCAATGTAGATGAAATTTGTCTATAGTCTTCGCCTTAAAACCCTTTTAATTTTCGTAACAGATACTTTTGAAAAGTTCTTTTTTTAAGTATTTTGCACAGATTTTTTTTCTAATAAATTGAAAGTTATACTTATCTCGAAATATTCAAGATACTCCTTTCAAAGGTAATTATTAAATTGCTTACGAAGCTTAAATCTATTGTTTAAATTTGTCTTGAATTAAAGAGATTTGTATTTCGCTTGTTACATGCCTGTTTACGATGAGACATTGACAGCTGCTTACGCTCACGATACAGCAGTTAGCACAAAACATCAAGATCGTAGTACACAGGCGTCACTAACTTTACATCACTTATTTAAGTTACAGGAATGGTTCAAACTATGGAAAATTCGATTGAATTATGAGCGATCAAAACATATAATCAGGGATTAAGATGGAAAAAATAACTTTTACTTTTAAAATGTTTTGGTATGACTGGAATTGTTATTTTCAATAGTTTTCAGTTCTTTTGGAACTAGAACTTACTTCCTTTCAACTTTTCTAGTAAAGCTTTTACTAAAAAAGCTTTTATTTAAAATTTTGTCTATTTCGTTAAAAAGTTATCTAAAATATTCTTTTTATTCTTAGCAACTCCAACAAACGACACTTGAGAATTACGGATAATTTTAAGACAGATTACAACTTTAATCTAATCCCGAATACTGTTTAATTTCCATTTATCGAAAGTTTATTACAAATTTTATATATGGTATAGAAAAATTTATATATAATGTTAATACAATAAATACAGATTAAACTGTAACCTGGTTTTACCGTAAACCTGGAATTTTATTGCAAACAAAAATTCCTTAGAACTTTTATTTTAAGGACTTTTTTCCTAAAACGTTTTACAAAAATTATTAAAATATAACGTTTTTCTTAAAACGTTTTATAGAACTGGATTTTTGTTAAATTGGATTTTTTTCTAAAAGTTTCTTCCTCTGCTCATAACAGTTCCTCTTTGACATGGTACCTGCCCTCCAGTTTCTGTTGATAAAACCCACATTCCTTAAACGGACACGGTATCTTATCTTGAATATACCTTCGACAGGAAGATGATGTATGGTGCCCGCATAATAAAATGAACCGGTATACGCTTTGCAAACGACTCAAACTGTTTGACCCATTTTTTCTCAATCTTCAAAATTGAAACTGAAACCATAACTGAATAATACATGTACATATTAATTCAATATGTTATGGGATAAATCTATAAAGAAAATAGTGTCCAAAATTGGTAAAAATGTTATGTGAATGGACAAACAAGATATTGTTTTGGTTTTAGAATTGCTCGACACTTCTATTGAATGTAATCCTGTTCTATCACGATTTGTTATAATCCCCGGATAAAGCAAGGTCGCCTTAGTACTTACTAGGAGTACTGAATTTGACGAAATGATGAAGGATGAAGTGCTTCGTTTCTCAACTTTATATGTCAGCGGCTGTGATTGGTCTTCGTAGCGGAGGGATGCTTCCAAATATGGAGCTACCATCCCGAGGGTCAGGCCGTAATATATTCAATGAGTGCTGCCAAGGGCACCCTGTCTGCCAGCCATACATCACCCGCTGGAAGGTCTGCCGTCTCCAGTTCTGTACTGTAAAGCTGGAAGGTGGCTATCGTAAGCGTAGACTTCGGGGGAGGTTTAACAGGGGGGGCGATCGCCTCTCCTCCCTCCAATAAAAATATAGAAAAAGGTAAAATATCGCTTCACCACCCTCCTCCAATATGCCGATAAACAAGAATGAAAAAATATATATCAAAACCAATAGCAATTAATCTACGTGAATGAATACAATTTGTGACCTGAAATTATTTAAGAAAATAAGAAAAGTTGACTAGGTGGCTATGCCATGGCCTAGAAGTAGGCGCGCAAGTATTTTACCACGCCCTATGTTTCTATTATTGAAAATTAGTTTATTTTTATTTTTTCTGTTGGCATTACAGACCATGTAGATCTTTTGCCACCTTACTCAAGCCTGCTCCATCTCTGCTTAGATTATTTCTTTCCATTTATCTGCAAGCAACTCTTTTGAATGTTTGTTGATTCTATATTTTTGACCCTACATGCCCCTCCCATCTTAACCTCCGTGCCTTCATATCATAGGATATTGATTGACCAGTTTCTGCAAGCCGTTTTTTATTAGTCTTTCTTCTCCACGTTAGTACTCTGATCCCAGACCGCTCCGGTTTTCGTGCGGAGGATTTTTCTCTCAAATATTTCAACACTTTTTTTTAAGGTTCCGGTTTCTAAAGTATCATGGTATCACAGCCATATATTAGTATTATCATAGCATTATTCACCCTTAATTTGAGATTTCTTTAGATTTTTCGGAATTTCGATACCTTTGAGAGGGAGAAGAAAGCTCTGTTTGTGCTAGTTATACGGTGGTCTATTTCTACCCGTTAGTCATTCATTGAGGCTATTGTGGAGCCGAGGTATTTGATTTTTTCTACTCTCGGCAATGATTTTCCTTCTCCTCAGATCCTGTTATTGGGGTGGAATTTTCGGCTTATTATGATATATTTTGTTTTGTCTTCTTTTACTTGTTTAGTTTACATTTATTTTATATTCAAATATAATTATATTGTCTAGTTTATATTGTACCATTAAATATACTTTGCTATTCTTTTGTTCATTTTATAATAATTATATCAATTATCTCTTATACTTTTTATAAATAATATAAACTCTCGAGGCTTCTTTTTTGTTGGTCCATCGCTCTTCTCCCTCCTCTTTTCCACCCAACCCCCCAACCAGAGTTGAAAGTCTACACCTATGGTGGGTATTATCCCTCCAAAAAATGATGAGCTCTAATACTGGAGAGGGGTTACCTGTTACAACCCTTAGGTGTAAGAGAGTCTTCTTATTCCAAATAGGTCCAAAATTTATAGTGACAATTAAAATTTATTCACTAAGAAGCTTACCTTACCACTTAGAATAAGACTCCTATAATCGTGCACGAGGTGTTGGGTACGATGCTCTAATTTATGAGATTCAAGATTAATTTTTTTTTAAGGGGGAGCATTTTTTTCATAATAACGGTAATTATATGCACATTAATGATTTTAGAAATAATTTCTTGTATTTTTTCTCGAAATATGCTTATATTTAGTAGCAGAAGTACGTGTGTTATAATTTAAAAATAAGATATCGTGATTTTAAGTATTTGCATCATCAGATCTCACATAGAAACAGATATTGACGAATGAAAGGAATATTATTTTTATACATTTTTTTTTTGGAATGGGGGAAGGGAAAAGAGCGGAGAGTATACCCTTTAAAGTAGTAAAGGGTAAGCTATACATTTCTCTAAATATCATTTAATGCGAAGAAAATTCCCCTCCAACACAGAATCATAAAAATTAAATAATCTAAAAATTGTAAAAGCAAAACTTTATATATTTTTTCTGATTTTAAATTGTTTAAGATTGGTAAAAATGTAAGTTTATGAATATATTTATTTTGTTTAAATAAGCAATATGTTCGCCTGTCGACATATGGCATGAATATAATCAAGACATGTAAAAATTACTGCACAAATTTTAGTTACTACACAACTTTCTAAAATACTTTACTTAAAATTGAATTTTTTAAAAAGTTATTGTTCGTAGTTAAAAGTTATAATTCGGTTATTGTACCTTCCATGCAACAACACACCAATTACAGAGTTACTGATTACATTGCTGGAGCACTAGAGCAAAATCAATACGCAACCGGCGGTGTTTCTGGATGTTGCCCAGGCATTTGATAAAGTCTGTTTGTTACCAGGAACTTCTCACTAAACTCAAAACTGTACTATCTCATTCCCCAGTCTTTTCTTTTCGAGAGATTTTCCTGTGTCTACCAAGGCTTTAAGAAATTTTCTTAATTTGACCAGTGTTGGTAGTACTTCAAGGATCAATATATACACTATTGACATGCCCATCAGATGGGGACTAAAAAGGAGCTGAGCCAGAGATCTCCTTTTCTGAGTTGAGGAAAAAATTATTGACCGGGAAGAGTGGCTGCCGAGTACCATTAAAATTCCTCGTAATTAACATGAGAGTTTTCCAAATTAACAACAGCTCATCTGCTTATTGTCATATTAATGACTGGTGCAGATTTAAATCTGATTAGAATTAAATAAGTTATTGTTATACAACTCAAAATAATTAATATAAATTATGACAATTATGTATACTGTAATTATTTCTGGTTTATCTGGGTAGTACTTTCTTACTATACTTCCTTAGAGGGGAAAGAATCCGCATTTAAGTTACATCGACTTTTTCAATAACTCATGGCGTCAACTACCGGGTTATAAAAGACCATTTCATTCTATATCATTATGTCAAGTTGAAAATAGTATTTTTTAGCCATTTTCGAGAAAATTGTATAAATATGTAAAATCTATGGTAAAAAGTAGGTTTCCGGTTTGTCTATTTCGACGGAAAAATTGGGGTTACGTGGCTCGCTTGTACACACCTTAAATAGTTTATTTCAGTTTATACTACTTACAGAATGTTTATCATTATTATTATAT